TTTTTTTTTTTTTTTTTTTTTAAGTTCTTCCAAAGATAAAAAAACATTCAAAGAGTTGAGTGATAAAACAAGAAAGAGTTCTTGTAAAATTTCCTTATAAATATATATTCTATACTTCTTGAAAAACCAAGTAGTTTCTACTAGCAAAGAGTAGAAACTATAGTCGGAACCAAAGTTCAAAAGGTGGATACGATTAGAAGGAAGACATTTGGATTCCTAAAGTGAGTAACCACAAGAAGTTGTCGTTACCAAACCGGGAATCAATTTCCTCATACATCTTCATTTTGAAGGAGTTCAAGAACAAAGGTAATTTTTAAATTACATGTCAAATCAAAATTAGTAAAAGTTACTAGATTTTAAATGATGCTTATATGTGATCTTGTTATATTTATGTACGAAATAAGTATTTATAAGATAAATACTTATAAAAAATTTAAATTCCGCTGCATTCTCTGTTCCGTACGGTATAACGAACCCAACAGTGGTATCAGAGCCACGTTACAATTTGTATCTTTAAAATTAGATTTAGATTTGAAAAATTGTTAAAAACACGAACTGGAATAAAAATCGAACTTCAAAAACACGAGTCGTGTCATAACACGAGTCGTGCAGGATGACACGACTCGTGTGACCGGTCGTTTGGGGTCACACGACCCGTGTGAAAAGTCACACGAGTCGTGTGCCTAGAAGTGTCACCTCACACGAGTCGTGTGAGGTGTGACACGAGTCGAATGACATAAAATTCTTCCTAGTTTTTCTAATGTCACTCTCGCATTTTTCACACGAGTCGTGTGAGTAAGCCACACGAGTCGTGTGACTTGTCACACGAGTCGTGTGACTGATCAGTGATCAAAAAAGAGCTGTTTTGACTTAATATGAGTCATTACTACATGAAAATATTAAATTAGTTAATTTATATGGTTGATTTAGGGATAATCATGAGCCTTTTATTCATAATGATGAATGATTGCATTTTTATTCAATATGATTGATGGTTGCATTTTTATTCAATGTGATTGAACGACTGTAATTTATCGAGACCTGTGAGTCTCTTGACTTATGATTCGTAAAATTTTAAATTTATGTATCGTTAAAAGATTAGATCAAGATGGAGACCATTCGATGCAAAAGGCCCACACATGTGTGGGTAATTTTACAAGTTGTAAATTTTGAAGGCCTGTGCATGTACGGGTAGATAAAATAAATTGTAATAGAAGTAGTTCTATTTATTTTATTACGTACATAGGCATAGACCCATTTTGGCTCGAATGGGTCGTATAGGCAAGGTCATGATCATCCCACCGTATGCATGCATTAGATGTATGTTAGGTTTATTTATTCTTGTGATTCATGCGATGAATAATGCGGTAAAAAAACACACGTAAAGATGGTAATTGATGAGATCTAAGAAACCCTAAAGAATAAATTTGATTAATTCTATATCAAATCAATAATGGATAAAAATAAGTTGGAACTTATTCATCCAGGCCTTCCATCAAAAGTAGACGACATGAGATGCTAATATACTTTATCACCGACCATGAGTCGTGGGGTGGTTTTGTGTCGAAAGCTGTGATCCCTACTAAGTATTGTGACTCGTGAGGTGGATTCCTCTTTATGTTGACCATGAGTCGTGGGACATTCTGGTGGGCCACTATCATGAATGTTTGATGGGTTTGATTTGACAATTAGTAATATATACGGTCATAAAATTGAGGTATATAAGAAAAAGTGAGGCAAAACATCTTGAAGGATGTATAGTGATACAATTGTCAAAAGTTGACTACCGATATAATT